TATCAAAACCACTGATGTCACCAGATTTATCCGGTCTGTTCGTGAAGATCTCTACGTCCTCTTCACATAAGCCACTCACAAATACACTTCGACGTTGATAAAAAATTTGTAACGGATTGTTCATTAACAATAAAAACAACACTATCCTATAGCAACAGACTAATTTATTTAGAACACTTTTGTTGGTCACCGCCCTTTCACTACTACCAACAACAATAAACCCTGAGAAAGACGGCCAGAATATCGCTTTACCTCCCCTAAACCCTAACCCTAAATAAACCATTCTAATTTTTAACCTAATTCCTCAACGAAATTCTACAACTTTTCGTAAAATATCCGAGATTTTTCTTCAGTCTTTACGCTTCTCCTCCGCCTTTCCCGTTGAATGTTCTTCTTTCTCCTTTGACTTGATGCCGTCAGGATCGTTACTGCTTGCAGCAGAGGCTTTGGCTTGTGCCTCTGACGATTCTTTCGTTACCTTCGCAACTCCTTCGGAGGCTACTTCCTTCGAGTGCTCCGTTCTGGAGCTTTCAAGTCGCCTCTCTGAATCCCCAACCCCTTTCTCACTTTCCCCAGATGACGTCTCACTTTCACCCTCTCCTTGTTCCCCCGTCAACTGCTGCCTTTCCAAAAATTCCTTCGCTTTTTGCTGCTCTTCCTTTTCTTTCTCTTCTTGTTCCTTTGCTTTCTGGGCTGCGGCCGCTTCGGATGCTAGCCGTCGGTTGTCTCGAGCTCGGATGAATGTTTTCGGATGGATTGGGAACAATCCAGAAAGACCTGAAACGATAACTGCTTCCTAATAGCATTAAATAAATAAATGAATAACACATCGCCAAATCACCCACCCAACAACTCTAACACAGGCACAGAAATATGCGCGTTCCTCTCACCGATCCAATACTTGATTCGTCCAATGTTCAACGCTACCAACTTCTCGTTCCGAACGTTCGGCAGTGGATCGAACGTACCCACCTGAAAATGGCTCACATACATCCATAGAATTGACAACTGATTACATTTACCTGTTTGAGAGTATTCCTTACAATCAACACCATACTTAACCATTTCATCAAAATATTTTGAAGAATTAAAACAACAATATGCTGGCTAAACCTCAAATATACGCAGCATAAAACTAAATTCTACACAGTAATAAACCTAAATAAACGAGATGAGATAAAATCGGACAATATCGACGAGATATAAGCGACTGGCCTGTTCTAGGATACTGCTCTCAGATCGTCGTCCCAAAGCACGATCCGGAAAAACGCAAATTTGATAGAAAGGTCGATTTGTGCATCCAAATAACGCTAGCCCAATTGATGGACGACCAAAATATTTGGGTAATACCAATTTGCGCATTCTTTATCACCGATCACACATACGCATAGAGACGACCGAATCAATAAATAGATCACGCAGATGCTGAGGTATTTCGATGGGTGGGTGCTGAAGTAAATCCTTAAATCATACCACAATTTCAGATGACTTCCCTTGATCTAACACAAGGAAAACCACTACTTCCTTTTCAATATCTATCCACTTTCCAAAAACGTAACTGACATTATAAATGGGAAGATTCAATCTGGAGAAAGGAACCTCTCACATTTTCAATTACAAAAATTACTCTTATTCAATCTAATCGTTTCATGAAATGACCTACTTCATATGGCATTAAAGATGACGACAAAACGTTGATAATTTACTCTGAATAAATGACTGAACACAAAATTTCACGAGACTGCGTTACTCAACTCGGGTCAAATCTCACGATCGCTTTACAGTTTTGGGCGATGAATACGGAAAATTAAGTAACAACAAAAAACAAAAATGCAGTTGATAAATTATAGATACGACCATATATACAGCGTTGAGCGCATAGTGTATACGCAGTTAAGCACGATAACATTTTGCATTGACACTGAACACGTTACAAACGATTTTCTCAAAACATTCCTATGCTTTCCCGAGAGAATAAACATCCAGCCTAGTTTCCACGGCATTTAACTAATTTTCCGACTATTCGGCGAACCGAAACAATAAAATCTACTCCAACAAGAAGCAAATTCTCCTCAAAAATCCATAATATCATTGTTCAACGATGAACTCTCCCATTACAAACGTTGAATACATCCGTTGTGATCATTTCGCCACACACTCCGTGTCTCCAACCAATCGCCCATCAATCACTACCGTAATACGACTTAAATATCCAATCGGCATCCGGCAGATACCGTAACAGGAAGTTCCTTATCCAATAGCACAACGCGCAATCGGGAATCGTCGTTTTCGGTCAATATTCGCGATTTTCGACCGATCAAGGGAAACATCAGTACATGCAGACTCAAAAGCGTTTTCAACAATGAAACTAACACGTTCAAGCGTTAAAAAGAGAAATTGTCGCAGAGAAATAACAATATTGAATGAAGGACTACACAGCCTTATACACACAACCGCCTTGTACATTCCATTCCATATCGTCACCGCCATTTGAATGAAGTTTATCATTCAATAAACGAATGTGCAACACAAACGATGCCTATTCAATGGCCATCTGATCCCAGCTATCTTAGAAGCACGATTTGATCATTCAATGAGCATCCAGCAGATACTGTAATAGGGAGTTGCTCATCCAATAGCACTAGGGCAATCATGAATCATCGTTTTCGGTGAATATTCGTTATTTTCGAGCAGATTTTCGACTGATCAAGAGAAATAACATTACATATTACTTCAAAGGCGTTCTCTACAATCAAAATACGACGTTTTATGTGTTGAAAACGAGACTTTCGGTAGGGAAGTAGCAATATGGATCGAAAGGACTATACAACCTTATATACATAACGATCTTCCGCATCCGTTGCCACCTGAATGAGGTTTGCTATCCAATAAACTAATGTGCAACAGAAATGATGCCTAATTTAATCGTAGCAAGGCGTATATGGATGAATTTCAATCTGTAAATAACACAACCTTGAATACACAACTGTTTTGACGATTCTGACAATCATAAATATTTTATTTAGCCTTATTGTTGATATTACTCGTTAATCGATCGAATTCTTCATCAAACTCCATTGAATTCTTCACATGAACTAATCATTTAGAGAACACCACAAAACGACGGCTTTTTCATTTGAACGAATGCGAACACGTTGTTTTCTCGTTTATTTCATTATGCACAATTGGCTACTTCCATGAAAATATGCGTATACACTTCATTGCAAAACTTCGGATTCCAGTTCTTATGTTAACGATCAAAACAATTTTAAAAATTTTATTCACAATCAGTCTCAAGCTTTCTGGTTAGTGTGAAGAATTCCCCGAATTCTTCATCAAAAACTGACAACTGAATGATTATTCATTTACAGTTCACACAAATGGAAACTTTTTCAGTATATTCATTAAATTCTTCAATAAATACACTAAATACAATCGCATGCAGGAAATCGCACGATATAAGGGTCTAAACATCATACGATTTTCAAAGAAACATCCGCCGAATCGTAATAATTACATAACACTTTCACCAAAATGATCAACAATTTACTTTCAAATTGATCAGACAAATTTATAACAATTCTATACCGCAAGTGAAGAACCCAAAAAAGAATCATGCAAAAATTATACGTACAAAGTCAAAGGCAAGGCACTCTATCAGCAGTGACATCCGTATAGTACAATGTATACAGAATATGAACGTACAACATCTCATATACTGGTTCAACGTCTGATTTCGTACAATATTCCCCAAATTATCCAGATCATATGCATTACCATTTTCATACAACAATGACCGGTGATAATCTAAACCGATTCAGCACGAAAAAATAAAACGCATGGCCACAACAGCAACAACAATACAAAAATCGTTTCAAAACCCGCATACAGCGTCGTCATCCGCTTAGCCCCGAGAATTTTGGAAACGTGGCTCCAGGGAGTCTTTGTTCTCGAGTTCTGTCTTCATCAACACAACAGGTGTGTCCACCACAGCGACGTGGACCTAAATTCAACTTGTTCAATGAAATATCAGTAATATTCTCACTGTCAGCATCACTATCGCTATTAATCTACTGCTATGATCGATCATATGGCAAAGGAAGAATATTGTTGCGATTATTGTTCAATAAACCAATAAATCTTCAAATCATCTGTATTATTATCATCAGTATTACAAACCATTATTGTTCTCATTACTTTCATTACTGTCTTCATCAAATCATCTGTATTATCATTAGTGATTACACACTGATCCAATATTATTCAAGGTATTCAGTATTATATACCGATCAAATAAAATTCAAGGTAATATTGAAATATGAAAGAAATTCTTGTACCATCTCAACTGATCAAATAGCCTTTTAAATGATTGAATGATGATTAAATAGCCATTTAAATGATTAAATAACCATCTCAACCTTTTCATAATGAAAATTCCGACATCTGATTGAATTATAAGGTAATCAAGAAAAAATCAAGAAAAGAGATAAAATCAGTGCAAAACCTTTTGATTATCAGTTGATGCCGATGACACGGATGATTCGTCCTTATTCAAACTGACTTTATTCAGCGGCAATGCACCAAAAACGACCGGTAACACAACCAGACCATGCAACAGACCGAGACTCACCACCAAAATGACCACTTTCACGAACACTTTCACCATATAAGCTTGTATAATTGCCAACACACATAAACTGAGNTAATAGACTGACGAAAAATCCATAGGGATACATTCCATAGATATCGAGCAAATTTTAATGAATATTTCCCCTTTTGTTCGCAAATTTCTTCACGAATGAATTTCTATCAACCTCACGGAATTCTCTACAAAACTCAATTTTCCATGAACAGATATCAGCTTTGCAGAAATCAATACAAAAGACAACAATAATAGTGAACCCTATGAAATTGCTTATTACACGGAATCAGTGGTCAACGTTATATAGCACAATATGAACAGACATAACCCCGACTAAGATGCGTGCGGATTCTATTTGGACCCTCACTAAAGCACTGAACAAGTTGGATATCGTTGATCAAAAATTTCACCGTGAAATTTTGGGATATACTTGGAGAGATATAAAAAGAAACGAAGAAATATATGGAGCTATCAATGAAGTGCTAAAGAAGCAACATATGCCACATATAAAACCATCCGAAAGAGCACTAGAAAACAGTTTGAAGCTGATTGGGCATATTTTGAGGTGTGATAAGAATAAGATGGCCAAACTATCACTTTTACACGACGAGCCTTCCCCTGGTTGGAAACAGTCAAGAATGAGGTAGAAAGCGATTGATATGGAAAGAACTAAGTGAAAGTGATTTCAAACTCGTCGGATATAATGAGGTAATCAAAACGGCAACGTCAGTTTACGGTCGTAACATATAAACTTCATGGATTAGTCCAAATTGGATACAATCGCAAAATATGATAGCTGACAACAGCACTAAATGACGGAAAATGTGCAAATAGCACGATAGAAAGCAGGCACATCAATGAAGTCAGTCAGTCGCCTTACTGACACTCTACATCCATCCATCAATGATTCAATGCGAACAGATCAATAACATCACGAACACTTCAAAATAACACGATGAAAGACAAAAAGGTAAAAATCAGAAACATTTTGAAATTTTACTCAATAACATCAAAAAACAATTCCTCGATAACATCAAAAAATTTTTAAAAAACTCACTGAAATTGATCCTTTATAATAGTGGAATGTGATATGTGCAATGAAGTCAACCGAGAATCCTATGGCCATCAGAGTTGTGGCCATTGAAATGGGATCCAGATCGATCTCCCAATGACTCAGTGCACCGAACACTCCCAAATTAATGGAGAGAATTGATAATGTCGACGTGATTATCGTGGTAAGACACGGCGTGAAGATCATCAGCACAACGGCCATACAACCGAATGCGAAAATCACAGTTGATTTCGTAACTGGTACGATTGTGAGTAACTGTAAATCACATCACTTTCATAATAATAATACCAATAATAATCAAACCAATATAATAATGATAATCAAAACGATATCATATCCAAAAAAACAGTAATAATAACTCTTAAATCAATAACAATAGTACTAACAACACTAACAAAATCATTGATAATGAAACGATAGCATAATAAAAACAACAGTTTCTACTAAAATAATAGCAATAAGGAATAAGAAATATTCTCACTATTTAAGAAAAATAATGAGTAATAAAACAAGAAATAATTTAAAAAGTAATAAGAAAAAGCGATAATAATAAAGAAAAATATAGCAAAAAATAATGAAATTATTATTGCGCACGATAACATCAACATTACCATTACAACTCAGATGCTGTTCGAACATAAAATTCTACTGACCTGATCGGAATACATACTGAACGGTTCGTATATGGTGACGTTGAAGTGTGAGAACTGCTTTGCGATTGTGCGCCATTCTTGTAGTACCGTTAGCCTATCCGACCACTCGACAGCGTTCTTGAAACCAGTCGAGAAGAAAAATTTCTGTACACACGATGGCTTCTCCTCTTCACAATCTCTGCAAAACAAAATCATTTCGATATTTATCATTTTTCTTAAAATTTCACAAATTTTCACACTCAATCAAACAAG